GGATCATCATGCATATTTTCATTTCCAACAAGCGTATCGAGGCTAATACGTGAAGAAAGAGAGAAAAAAACGAACTTAATACCTACTACTCCTNTTCCCCCCCCCCCCCCCCCCCCCCCCCCCCATCACGTAGTATCCAAAACCCGGCTCTGCAACGAACACAAGTCGACAACCATAGCTACACTCGCTACCTCCTTGGCACTCTCGTTCAGCCGCCCCTTGACAAGGGCTTCAGTAGCAGCGTCGGCTTCTGCTGCCATCCTAGCCCATGCTGCGGCCTCCTTGGAACCCCCAGCTGCAGGTAACAAGTGGCTTTCGCCCGAGAGCCGTACCAGAGCTTCCTGTGCCTCTTGGTCTGCGGTAGCGAGGTGTGCGGCAAGGTGGACCGTGCGCTGGGTGAGTGCGCGCTCGCTGGTTGCAATGTGTGCAAGAGGAGGGAGGTAAGGAAGGATTTTGGATATGGGGTTGAGTGGTTTTGAGGACGTAGATACCGTATTTGCATTTACTGGTGTTGGTAGAGAGACGGTATTGTTGTCGTTTGTCGAAGAGTCGTTTTCTGAAGTTGGTGCTGGTAAAGGGTTCTGGAGACTGAGATGCGCCTCGAGGAGATTGGCTCGCGCGGCTGTGTATTTGTCGTATGAGGCTTGGACCTTTGCTGTTGCTGAGGCACGGTCGATTGCAGAATTGGCTGCGTCGGTTGCAGCAGCTGAAGTGCCATTCCTGACTGGACGCTTGATGGGTGAGGCGTCTTCAAGGAAAATGCTTTCTTCCTCGAGCTTGGCCAGTTCCCCCTGTATCCAGTCTACAAGTTCATTTCTTGCTTGTTCGAGAGCATGGACTTGTGATTGGAGAGTTGCCGACGGGGCACTGGGTGTTGTGTCCTGTGCTTTTATTTTTGCGGCTTGAGCTCGTTCCATGCTTGCTCTTGCCTCGAGAACTTCTTGCTTCAGTCTGAAAATCGATACTTGGTCGTCATCTGTCTGGGAGAGATTATCCAGACGCTCTGCAGGGACATCGGGTTGCTTGCCAATTGCGCGTTTGACTAAATCTCGAGGATCTGAGGAGGGCGTGGAAGGCTTTGCGCTGAGGAGTTTTTCCAGAGATTCTTGAATGACCTGAAGCTCTGCATGCCGGCGACGCTGCCGCAGTAGAAAAACATAACCTTGTGTGAGATTGTCGTCGTGCTCGGGTTCCGGTTGGGTGGGGTTGTCGTCCACGTAACGAGTCCGCAGCTGTTCTAACGAAGCCTGGAGCTCATTGTGTTTTGCCTGTGCTTTGGTGCGAGCCCGGAGCGCTTGAAGGTATTCAAGACGACTATCTTTCAGACCAGGAGGATTCGTGTTGGCTGTGGACAAGTTCTGGGGGCACTCATGGTTCAGGTGCTGGAGTTGAGTTGATGCATTGACTGGCCGAAGGGTGGATGTCAAGTATTTTGATAGCGTGCGTCGAATGCGTAGTGTATCTTGGCGAGAGTTGACGTAGGCGGACAATGCTCGATCAACCTCTGAAATCGGGCACGCCGTCTGGGCTGGCATTGGAATCGAGTTTGGTCAAAGCCCCGGCGTAGGGATTGACGTACTGGTGGAAATGACAGAGGAAGGGGAGAAGGCTATTCCAGGAGTTGCATGCGGCTGAGTGGCCACGACGGCAGCTTTGACCTGTGTCACGATGCTTTTGAACTTGGGTTTGCGGTATTAGGACAACGCAACGACCGGCGGTGTTTAGGCGGGTCGGAAGACTAGGCCGTAATTGGCTGAGCGTATTCTACTAGCGCAGATCACGAAAACACGTGCTTTGGGACTTGGCGCATGTGCATAGAACGATTGCCTGAGCATTGATGGCGGGCAAAAGCATAAACGAAGAAAAAAGGCCCGAGTTTTGCTTTTTGGTGGGCGAACGCAGAGAGGGGACTGCGGTTGGGTGGGAGGAGGGAGGGTCGAGCTAGTTTTCCGGTGGTGCGGTTGCTTTGGGGTGTTCGCTCGTTATTGCCAGGAGTGTATTCACAGATGGGAGAGTTTTTGCTGTCACGCACTACAAGGACACATGTTGGGCCATATTGCACCCTATGCGGACAAGATGGGCAGCAAGAGCTGAGTGAGGGCTGACTGTTGTTTCTAGCACTACACCTAGGCAGGAAAGGCACCGGCGGATGTGTTCAGGGGATGTGATGCGCTTGACGCCGTTGCCACACAAGTGCCCGGCATCGAGTCAGCTATGCGCCATATGTACACAAAGTATGAAGCAATGTGGCTGCGGTGTGGCTGCAATGAGGCTGCTTTCACCGGGGTGCTGCTCCATCAACCTGTGACTGCGTATGTGTTACATGGAAGCGTGTTAGCGTAAGTAGATACAAGGAGACGATAGCGCGTGATGGCCATGGTCCATACGCTAGACGTGTTTGCAGATGGCAGCCCCACACGCGTAGGCTGGTCGAGATAACGCGGTACGGGGACATGTAGCATGCATAGGGCAGGATGGATGTGATGTCAGACGTCGCTACAACCACCTCAGGCACTCAGAAGCGATAGGACGGCGAGGAATGAAATTGACAGCGGAAATGCGGCTTATGGGCACGCGGAAGCAGAGAAGAGCGAGGTAGATATGAGACAACGGCCCTTTGGACTCGGGAGCTAGTGTGATCAGCAGCAGACAATGTACCTACAGCAGGGCCCGTGACAAGTTCGATGAGGCATTGTCCGGAATTGCTTTGCGTGGGCGAGGCTAGGATATGGCCGTCTGCGTCAATGAGGAAGGGGGGCGACGTGCTCTCAGACACGAGGCGGTGGATGATGCAAAAAGTGGACAACGCATCACACCGGATGCACCAATTGCAGCTGGCAGCGAGGGCAGGCGGCGGGGAAAATTCAGACGGCCGGGGGTTAGGTGTGCTGGCGACTAGTAAGTACAGTAGCAGTAGAGCAGCGATGCGAAACAGAGGCACTGGTGGGCTGCAGGGCGAGCGAGCAAGAAGGAGAGGGATAGGGCACAGCGCGTTCTGGCAGGCCGCTTGGCGCGACAGGGGGGGCAGCGAGGCATGGACACAGGCGGTGGGATGCCATGGCATAGGCCTGATGGGCGGTTTATTTCGCTAGGGCCCAAACGAGCATCAACTGCCCTGTCTCGCCTCTCTCCTTTCCCGCCCGCCACCAGTGATACAACTCTCGCGGCGGCCAAAAGCAGTCGCGGACATCTTGCGCCCGCCCGCCAGCCTGCCCGCCTACCGTTTTCTTTTTTTTGCTACATTTCCACACACTGCGAGCCACCAAAAAGTAATCCGGTACTGGCCCCAAATAGTCCAGGTCCCTGCGTCTGCGCTGTACCGCATCGCACCGCACCGCCCCAGGCCGCGTCGCGCGCCGCTCTCAGTGATTATCTCCCGGGCAGGGGCTCAAAGTAAATACTCCGGCACACCACCCACCTCACACCATCATAGAGGCCAGGTCGCCCGCCATTCCTCACCATGCCTTTCTTCAAGAATGTCTTCAATTCAAGAGACAAGCAAAAGTCAAAGACGGCTCCCGAGCCCGCTGCTCCCCCAAAGCCTCGCTGGGAAGAGTCATGGACGCGCAAAGAGGTGGCACCAGAAGAGATCCAAGAGCTCGTCCATGTCTGCACACAGGAAATGAAGTCGAGGGGTAAGTCGACACTGCGAATTGGCTCTTGCCCAGTCCCAACTGACCCGCACTCCAGCTCTGGATATGCCCTTCATGCTACTGCCCTTTCGCCCCACCTCAGATACAAGCGCCTCGCGCAACTTCATCCGCAACTTCTTCAAGGCCGCCTACGAAGAAACAGGCCAGTATTCGGGCGAGCAGCTGGTACAAGAATTGCGTCTGACCGCGCCCTTGGTACACTACCCCTCCACCTCCCCTCTCCCCCCCAAGACAGTGCTCCGTACTGACAGATACAGACGCTCTGCAGTATTATCAAATGGTGCTGGAGCAGGCTGCCCGGCGGCGTAGTCACCTGGGACGCATATGAGCTTTTTCGCATTGGCGAGTCTGGTAAGTTCTTGAATAGAGCCTCTCCTTCTTCACCCCCTCCTCGCTTGCTGATTCCATGTATTCAGACTCAAACTTTGCCCGACATTCTTTCGACACATTTATCCCTATGAGCGTCGATTCCGAGTCACGCAAGAGCATAATCTTCGACTTCTTTGACCTATTGTCTTCCGTGGCTGCCCGAGGCAAGACAAATGGTATGGGTGGTAGAAAGCTTTCTCGTCTTGCAGGATGGTGGGCATTCGAGTTTCATGAAGACAATAAGGGTTTCGACTGCGGATACCGCACATGGGAGAAGTAAGCGCACAGGCTGCACTGCACCCCTCCAAAAGAAAAGAATACACTGACTCGTCTCTAGGGCCGCGGATGCAGCAAGCCATCTCTTTTTCGCCTACCTGCGGTCGCTTTCGCCAGACACAAATGTGGTCGGAGCCATATCCACTCTACCACGGTCCCTTCAAGCCCTCCTCTCCCAAACTGAATATCCTCCCCAGGTACCCACCCTGATGCAGACGCGCACAACCAAGGTGGTCATGATCGTAGACTCGGTTTCGCCTACGCCATTTGCCCTGCTCCGCCGCGCAAAACACTTCGAGTACCGAGACGACGACCGAGCCTTGCAGAAGTTTTCAGAGTACGAAGATACAGTCAAAGCTCTGACTGATGAGTGTCGCAGAGTGCTCGAGTGCATTTCAACTGCCAACCAGTCTAATGTAGCAAGTTTGACAGATTCCACTACACCAGACCCTTCCTGGTCCCGCTTTGAGGACTTTGGATTCGCAGGCATCTTGGATAATCCTGGCACTGCCAACGGGTCCTCGCTGGGAGGCGGTCCAAGCGACTTTTCCACCTTTGGACCCGATGCACGCACAAAGAATGCCGACTTTGGTCGCCCTACGACTCCTTCGTGGGCAGATTTCCTATCCTCTGGGTTCGCAGACGAGAACAATAAATCTCCACCAACCACTCTCCTGATGCCGAACCAGAAGCTCCCGCCCCTAGGCGAGCATCGTGTACACAGCTCGCAATCCCACATGCGCAATGGCCTCAAGGAAGATGATCTTGATCCTGGTGAATTGGCTAGTATCACCAAATTCGAGCTCGATGAAACGTTTTGGTGGGTGTGGATGATCAGTCTGGCTTCTGAAGAGACCGCGGATCGCAAGGCCGCCTTCGGTCGATGCACATTGATTGAGACACGCATCCAGGGCGCAAAGTGGCTGGTCATGGAAGAGCAAGTCAAGGGCGCTTCGGATGGTCCTGAGGAAGGTGCGTACATTGTGGAGAAGAAATCAAAGTTCAGTTTCACAAAACGTGGGCGACTTGGTCGGCGAAAGTCAACTGGCAAGAAGCCATCTCTAAAGGAGCCCTACAACCGTTCTACCACCGACACTCCCATGAGCAAGACTAGCATCGGACCAGACCAGCACGCGAGAATACAAGCTGCAGCTGCAAAGTTGGCTCAAGGTGAGCGAGACGAGAAGGATGCAAGGGAACTCGCCCAACGTCGAGGACGCCATGATGACGCCACATCCGTCAAGACAAACAGCGTACTGACCCTACAGCCGCACCTGGTCAACGAGGCTGGCCCAGCTATGAAATGGGACAAGAGATTTGGCGAGGCTGCGCTCGATCGTGACGCCCTGCGCGCACAGTACCTGGGTGATACTAGTGCTGGCAAGGGGTCAAAGAACAACTTGCACTTGACTGCCAACGGGCGCACGTCACCGATGCCCTCGAATGTATCGAACCGCGAATTACCTCCTCTACCAAAGTCAGAGAAGGATCCCGACGAATCCGTCACGCCAGTGCCTTGGCCGGACTCTCCTATTCAGTCGCCACGCGCTCCGGTCAAGTCATACCAAACATCATCTGCTCCAGAGAAGACATTGTCTCCCGAAGAGACGCCTCTTCCTGACGACAAGTCTGCCCAGGCATCTATAACTCCCAGCCAGCATCCTGCTCTGAGGAAAGCAGTAGCCTCCCAGCCCAAAGATCGTGTCAGCGAGGATAAGGGGACCGTGCCTGAAAAGAAGCACTCGCCAGCCAAGCTCAAGAAGAAGGAAGGAGGCTTCCGAAAGCTGTTTGGTAGAAAGAAGACGGAGACACCAGCAGCTGGTCAGTCCGCAGATGATTCTTACTTCCCACCGGATGCCGTCCGGAGCGAGTCTCGAGTTGATGACCGCCAAGCCAGCGCACGAGTGCCATCTCCAACATACACTGATGAACAGCCCGAGCCTGTACGGGCTCCGTCACCAAAGTTTGACCCTAGCCCTGCTGATTCGTCTACCGGCATACCCGAGCCCAACTCATCTGCTGAACCTATTCCTGGCGGCCCTGCTACTCAGCAAGAAATTGACAATGCGTTTTCTCGATTTGACCAAGGCCCAATGGAAGAGATGCCTGCTTTCGCTCCTGACGACAGCGATGAAGACGCCGCTGTTGCTCCATCTGTCCCCCGACGACCAGTTCAACAGGCCAACCCAAGGACACCAACTCAACGTGCACCGCATGAAGCGGACGACGTGTCGGAGGAATCGGTGGAATTTGCCAAGCAGCAGTCACCATCGCACGACCGATGGGCGCAGATCAGGAAGAATGCGGCGGACCGTGCAGCTAGATTGAGCGAGGAGCAGGTTCGCCGTAGCCGAAGCCAGAGCCAGAGCCAGCGGACTGATGAAGGCGAGACAAGCGGCGAGGAGACGATTGAGAGCCGTGTTGCGCGCATCAAGGCACGTGTGGCTGAGCTCACTGGCAATGTCGATGGCCAGCCAGTTGTAGCTGGGCCTGGCGCGGGCAGACAGTGGTAGATTGTGCAGTGGTAAGGGCAAGGCTTCAGTCTTTATTTTGCGAGTGTGAGACTAACACGAGTGCAGATTCCTTGCAGCATTACAAGACCGCCCGTCTGATTTTCAAGCGTACAAAGAGCTCGATACCCTATTTCCTGATTTTGCGGCTGTTTCCCCCAGTTATACCTCTCTTGTTTTTTTTTTACGACAATTGGCCCAAGCTTGCTTTTTTTTTCCCCTGTCGCTCTCTCTCTCTATGTGTGTGTTATTTCCAACAGGTTTCAATAATCACTTATTAACACTGTCAAAGATGAGACATAAGATGGAGAGTAGCGTTTAGTTGTCTGTTTGTTCTTGATATTTTTTCTTCTTTTCTCCTTTTCTTCTTTACTTGTTAAGATACCTTGGGAGGAATGTACATTGGTGTCTATGTACATATGTTCTACTGCTCTCTCTCCTCTCCTTTTTCCCTTATGCGTCGTCGTGTATGTGGTGATTGTGTGTGTGGGGGAAGGGGGGAGGGGAATAAGAAGGGGATGGTTGGGGGTGTGTGAAGTGGAGAAAGAGGAATTTTAATGCAGATGCGAGATTGTGTTTGTGCGTTCGTGCGTGTGTGCGTATGCATGGGTTATATTTGTTCAATTTTTTTTGCTGTTCAAGTGAAGTGGAGAGGGGGGGGGGGTTGATGGTGCTATGAGGCGAGAGGAGGTTATGATGTGTGTTTGCGTGTTTTTCTCTTGGGTGATTTGTGATTTCAAACTCGATAATATGATATGTAGTTAATAGTTATTTGCAAAGTTACATAAGCATACTTACCACTGTCTATTATTCTCCATTGCTAATCATCTGGCCAATGCTTTTTTGCCTCTTCCGGCTTCTTTAAGTCCCTTCTTTTTTTGTTCTCTCTTCATTTCCCTCCCTCAGCGACGTGGGCTCATAGTATAATCTCGTACGATATAGTATGTCCAATTTCCAGCCGAAAAGAAGAAAAAAAACCTTAACAATCGTTCGTTGTTGTGACGGGTAGATGTAATATTGTTGGGTAATTTCAAAACAATTAAGTCAGCTATAATAGCGTAGGTGTATAGGAACACGAAACTTAACCCTGCTTGAAGGAATAATCTGGCGTCATGACATTACAATCTTCCCGCTCCGTGGTCTTTTTTTTAGTCTTCAGTTTTTTTATACGAACATTGGATGCAGGCCCTGGATGCATACGGGTATCTTGCAACGTGAGAGAGAGAGAGAGAGAGAGAGAGAGAGAGAGAGAGAAGGGGCAGAGAAAAGAGTACGAGATGCAAACTAGGGTTTCAGGTATATTGTGGCTTTGGGCGGTAGGTGAATTAGTGCTATAAGAGTGAGTGTTAAGATGTAGTAAGCGCCGATGGAGAAAGCGAGGAGTAGTCATACTGGAAGTGGTGGAAATTGTTGTTGTTGCTGTTATGAAAAGAAGAGACACAATTAGTTCTGTAGGCTGCGTGTGGCGTGGGCTTCCCAGGAATAGCTGTTTGCATGCAAGGTTGTTCATCTAGTATGCAGCTTGTGCGGTTAAGTAGGAAGTTGTGAGAGACATGAGTGGGTTTTTCGGGTCGGGCTATTTGGTGGTCTGCAATAACATGATGTGCGTGTGTGCCTGCATATGATGTGCCGCTGGAATAGTGCCGTTGGCCAGTAGGGAATGGAGAGGACGTTGGTATTGGGACACTTGTAACTAAGAATAGAAGGCAAGAAGGGTACCTGCACTTAAGATACGTGGGGTCGCTTTTGTAAAGGTGACCATGTTGGTTGCCTCGGAGCGACATCAGGATGCTGGATGCCTCAATTAGAAATATTAGACGACCAGCATCGAACTGTGCCGCTAAACAACTGCATGGACACGGCGCAGGTGCTGTTCGTACAGGTTGATCTTCTCTAGTCACGGACTACGGCCCCGCAGGTGGGGTATACTGATGGGGAAAGCAGAAGCTAGCAGAGTCAAAGCGAAGACAATGCGAAGGAAGCGGGCGGCTATGCAGGTGAGATGAGTAGTGTGAACTGGGGAACGAGAGGGGCTGCTGGGCAAAGAAGCCATGAAGGAAAAGAGAGGGTTGAAGGGTCAAGTCTGGGTGAGGCAGTTGCGGTCGAGGTGCGTCATTGGAGTGGATTTTGGGACATGCACGATGCTAAAAATATCGCGTTTCGGGGCGCGATGCGCGCTAGGAAGCGCGGTGCTGCGAGCCCTAATCCAACATCACAGCTACGTGGGCTGGGCAAGATGGGGAACAAGAGGTGGTTGTTTGGGCCTGATGTCACGATGCAGGCGCGGCGTGCACAAACGTGTTCATGGCGCAGAGAAGGACAAGTAAGTAAGTAGTGACGAGGGCAATGCGGCTCTGTGTGAGGCGCGATGCCGCACAAGGCGGATAGGTCAGTAGTATTATGAAGGGGGATGAATTAGGCCGCAGTTTCAGAAGGGGGAATTCCCCGCCTCCGACGGCGACGGGAGCTACTAGAGATGGGATGCTTCGCCATGTGTTGCAATTGAGACGTGGCTCGGCAAAGGGCGCAATGCAGCAGCGCGCTCTGGGCCGGCGTGTGGCAGGGCCTGGTGATTTCAGGACGTGTTGCACGGGTCGAGGCAGACATGGGGACATGGGCTGAGGGGAATATGGGAGCATGGGGGGGCCAGGTGTGCAGGCACGAGCACAAGCGCCGAGGGAGCTGTCATGGATCTGACAGCCAGGCAGCCAGGCAGGCAGTCTCTGCTGCAGTCCGGGTCGACGGCGAGCGACAAGTAGTAGTAGTGTAGCAGTACTGCGATACATATGTCCTTAAAATAACTCTGGAGGGCTAGAGGGCGAGGACGGAAGATTGACACAGCGGCGGCGCGGCCAATGGGGGTCTGGGTGCTGGGTGGGCCGGACAGACCAAAGCAGGCAAATAGGCCGTAAGCGGGCATATTAGCGACAGCATGGTCTGGTGAGCGCAGACGCCAGGCTTCTAAATATAGGGGCGCCCGCCTGCTCCATCGTCGCTCTCTCCAAACCACATTTCGCCCAGCCCAGAGCCTCAGCGACACCGCGCCTACATACTGCTGCAACTGCCCCATCATCCCCCTCTGCGCTGCCCCCAGCCCATATAGCCCTCGGGTCGCCGAGACGATCCGCCTCGCCCACAGCGCCGACTTTGGCCGCCTGCCCGCCCTCTGCTGCTGAAACACTGGCCGTGAGCGTGCCGCGCAAGCTACTAGTAGTACCACCTCGATTCTTTTGTGCTCCACGACCCTTTGCTAGCCCACCTTCCCGTCGCTCCATGCGCTTTGACGTCTAGCATCCTCCATTCACCATGGGCCGCAGAAAGATTGAGATCAAGGCCATCAAGGACGACCGCAACCGCTCTGTGTAAGTCGACTCGACCCCATTTCCTCATTCCCATCCGCTCCCATCGCGCCTCATCGCGCCCATTGCTATCCGAACAGAGCTGACCACCCACAGCACCTTCCTCAAGCGCAAGGGCGGCCTGTTCAAAAAGGCCCACGAGCTCTCCGTTCTCTGTTCTGTCGACGTGGCTGTCATCATCTTCGGCCACAACAAGAAGCTGTACGAGTTCTCGTCGGGCGACATCAACGAGACCATTGGTCGCTACCAATACGTAGGCATCCCCCCATTAACCCCGGATAGAGAGTCGCGCTAAAACGACATGGCACTGACAGGTTACCCAGTATGGCGGCGCACACGAACACAAGGGCCCCGAGGACTTCATGGGCAAGAAGGACGGCGACGACGATGATGATGACGACGAAGACGCCCCCCTTCCCCAAGACTCGCACACGCCCCCCGACCACCCCATGATGCCCCATCATATGCAGCATTCGCAGTTCCAGCACATCCGACACGCTGCCCCCTCCATGTCGCCTCCCATTGGAAACGGCGCCTTCCAGCAACGCGGCCCCTCACCCCAGCCTCCCCACCATCTGTCGCGACCCAACTCGAGGGTCGGACACATACGCCGCCCTAGTTCAAACCTCGCTCCACCCCAGCCCTACCCTTCGCAACCCCCAGCGCCTCCCAACAACTATGCCTACATGCCAAACCCGCCTTTCTACAACCCGCAGTCAGCTCCGCAGATGGCCCCGAAGCCCCAGCCCACTCCGCCAGCCTCACAGTACCAGTTCTCGCATCCAATGCCTGCGCATCCCCAAGTTCAGTACATGCAACAGGAGCAACAACGCCGGCAGTCTATGCCACCCACCTTCCAGCAACAGCAGCAGCAGCAGCAAGACCAACAGGCACAAGCGCAGGCACATGCACAGGCACAAGCGCAGGCTCAGGCTCAGGCTCAGGCTCAGGCGCAGGCACAGCAGCAGCAGCAACAACAACAGCAGCAGCAACAACAACAACAGCCCCCGCCGCCTCCACCCCCTCAGCCTCCGCAGCCACAGCAGGAACGCCCAGAACAACCCACCATCATCGTCCCATCTCCGCCCCAACAAAACAACTTTCAAAGCCCCCCTCTTCCCCAGCCGAAACCCCTGCATGCATCTGCCCGACACAGTATTTTCACTCCAATTGATGATAGCCAGTCTATGCTAGCAGCGCATTGGGGCAGTAGCAGCAACAACAATGCCAACGCACAACGCAACGAAGCCCCGTTTATCAAACAGGAAAATCGAGCCCAGTCTATTGACCTTGCTACCATACACCGACCGCAGCCTGATGGAGAGCCAAAACCTCAGCCGCAGCCCCCGCAAGCCCAGCCACCACCGCAGCGAACACAGTCTACATCTTCAGTGCCCATTATTCCCCCACCATCTCGCACAAACAGCCTACGCATGGGTGAGAGCAAACCAAGACTAAGGGTGCAAATTCCAAGTGAACACTCGGATGCTGGCAGCGCAACTGCCGACTCATCGCCCAAGGATTCTGGCACAACTGGCGCAACACCAGGACGAAGCACCGACGCATCGCATTCTTCAGGTGTTGTCCTTCCTCCGCCTTCGCCAAGCGCCAATTCGTTGCTCAGTGCTGGTGCAACAGGCCCACCAAACCCATTCGCTCGTCCTCCACCACCGTCAAATAGCAACTCATACGGGAGAAGCAACGACATGGAAACGCCAATCTCGGCACTCCCCAGTCGATTTGTGGAGAACGGCCTTCTTCCTTCTCCATCAAGCTTCTACCCTGAATGGGGTTTTGGCCGCGATTCCAACATGCTGCCGAGTCCCTTGACCTTTCAGACTCCAGTAGCTCCAAACGGCCCTAGCTTTGCGCGAGATGACTCTGCAGAGCGCAAGCGAAAGACATCGGATCAGGGGTCGGATGACGGCAATCAGAAGCGGGTCAAGACGTGATGTGTGCAACAAATGCGCGGAACCCTTTTCTTTCTATGTACGGCCACTTTGCCCCGGTCGTCTGTAATTGTACAAGCGTATCTTGTTCGACCAGGCTGTTTCTTTCTTTTGCTTTTGATTTTGGGCAAGCTAGCTATGCTCGATGCATGCACCCCACATATTACTGGTATCCTGTTTGTTGTTGAATTTTGGGTGCAGGGGCGTTGGATACCCACGGTAGCTGCTGTTGTTGTTATCGTCTGCTATTCACTATCTCTTTTTACAATTTGATGACTGCGGGCGGATATTTTCTAAACACTAGCAATAGCATGACGAACCATGAGTTGAGCAAGGTCAAAACTGTTTCTTCTTTGTACATACATAGTAGTAATACAAATGACATGTTGGCCGAGTTTCTAGAACCACCGAATCAGTACCATGTCGGAAAGTGGCGCGACGAAAGACCAGCTCGCGCCAGGTCAGAAAGCCAGCAAGTGCAGTGATTGGATGACTGGAGTTATTCTTGCGTGTGATGGTGAAGGTGGGCACGCAGCGTCATAGGGCCAAGCCGGTGCCCCGCCACGCTTGCCGCTGCGGCTGCGCCTCTACCCAAGGCACCCTCGCTGTGGGTGCCAGCCGCAAATGGGCTGTGAAGGAACCAAGATTGGGCTTTGGCTGTTCGAATCTGCATCGTTTCTTTGACGGTGTCCTCGTCTGCCGGTGCGTCCCCTTGCTGGCATCTTCCTCGCAACCGAACTTTCCCCCCTGTCCACCTGACGGCTGTTTGTGATCGCCGAGCACCTGAAGCTTGGTGTCACATTCATATATCAGTCCTCAGTCTTGCCAATAACTTGCTTTCACCCCTCCAAAAGCTCACGACCAATTCAATCCCAACATGGCGTATAACAAAGGCTTCAACCCAGACAGGCTGCCCATGCATGCTGAGCCCGAACAGGTGCGTCTCTGTCCAACTTGCAATACTACTCCAGGTGCAAAACTGACGTAGCTCAGGCTGCCGCTATGATGTCGCAAAACGCTACCACGGCCTTACGCCCACTGCGCACAAGCTCTGCGCGCCCTGATTACAACAAACCTCCCCCGCCTGTTCCCAACCAGCGATATGATACCCGTCCAGACGACCGCTATGGCGGAGGGGGTGGTCGCGGTGCAGGAGGAGGTGGAGGAGGAGGAGGAGGATATGACAGCAGACCCCCGCCAGGCGCATACAACGATGCGCGCTATGACAGCCGTTATGATTCAAGGCAAGACAACAGAATGGGCCTTGGATCGCCTCCACCAGCAAACTATGGCCATGGACCGCCACCACAGGGCTATCATGGAAGACCTCAACTTGCGCAGCAGTCAAGACCCCCGCCAACGCCAGCGCCGGCCGCGCCAAGAGATGGAAATGATCGCGAGGCCCTATGGAGATTGTTTGGCGCTGTGGACAAAGACAGTATGCCATGTCTGCCGTCGGTCAAATTGACAAGTAACTAACCATTGCGACAGGAAGTGGTGAGCTTACAGAAGCTGAGCTGCGAACTGCCCTCGTAAACGGTGACTGGACGCCTTTCGATCCGCATACTGTACGCATGATGATTCGAATGTTTGACACCAACAAATCTGGCACAGTCAACTTTGACGAGTTTTGGTATGCCACCCATTTCTCCACCCTCTCCACGCTCATGACAAGATTTATATACTAACAATTTCTTTTTCACTTGCACAGTGGTCTCTGGGGTTTCCTCTCTGCCTGGCGCGCTCTTTTCGACCGCTTCGACCAGGACCATAGCGGCAGCATATCATATGCTGAATTTAACGAAGCCTTGATCGCCTTTGGATACCGCCTTTCTCAGCAATTCGTCGCTCTGCTCTACCGCACATATGACCGCGACGGCCGTAATGCACTCAGTTTCGACCTGTTCGTCCAGGCATGTATTAGTCTGAAGAGAATGACGGATGTGTTCAAGAAGTATGATGAGGATCGCGATGGCTATATCACGTTGAGCTTGTAAGTGAAACTTGATTTGGGAGACGCAACCCTTTTCCGTTTATCACTTCTGTGAATACGTTTTGCTAATGAGTATATTTTTTTGTCTGCAGCGAGGAGTTTCTCACAGGTGCGCAAGCTTTGTTCCTCTTCAACTCGATTTCGGCCTCCACTGATATCGGTCTTTACTAGAAATCATCCGCCAGCGATGAGCTAGCGCCACAGGATCAAGCATGCGACTCGGCAATCGCGCACATCTGCTATATATGCTACAAAGTCGCTCATCTCTGTGAAATAAGCATTGGCTTTGAATGAGATCTGACATGACGATCTATATGTGTACCCCTGGTAATTTTGGGCTCCGCAGAGAAATGGATATACGTAGGATGGCTGTTGGTTTACCTTGGGAGAGAGAAGAGCGAGGGAAGCGACATCTTAATGGATATATAGCAAACTCATGTAGTAGTACACCGGGAAATGTTTGGGTAGGCATCCGTGGTTGTGGTGTTGACGGGGCGACCGAATCTCCCTCGTCTCCTTGATATCAGAGATCAAACCACATTGCTAAAGGTAAATCAATTTAGATACCCGTTTAGTTTTTTTCTCTTTCGCAACTTGTCATGTCCTGCGTTAAATGAGTTGTTTTTGAATACAATCCTCTCACTTGGTAGTCTTCTCATTGTATGCACATGTGCTTGATATATACTAAAATGCTGTATATGTGCAACTTTCTTCTCCCTAAATCGTGTAGCCATGGCGAGGGGTTATTGTGTACCATGGCGAGGGGTTATTGTGTACCATGGCGAGGGGTTATTGTGTACCATGGCGAGGGGTTATTGTGTACCATGGCATGAATGGGCATTGTTGTTTAGTGGCCACTCTCACAGGGGCTTTGATGTGCAGGAAATGTGGTGTTGTTGCATTAGGACGATCTTTGTGGACAGCGGGCAGAGATTGAAGGAGGAAGGGCTGTTTTTTTTATGGATTTACTCAGGGAAAACTTGTGAACAGATTGGTGGTTGATGGTAAATCGACTTTACGAACTGGTTAGTTGGCAATGGTACACAAATGTTCTTTGTGATTGAACCGACGGATATGTAGCGTGTACACGTGTAATGGTACTAACAGCGTGTCCCAACGACGGTACAACTCTACATGAAGTGTATTGTTGCAAACATGAGATAATGGTATCCAAAAGTAGATATGAATTTCACTATGATGTAACATCTGAAGAGGAAAAAAATGACACCAAAATGGCTTCGAGACTAAGCTCAAATACTATGCGCCCACGCACTATCATTTTGCGAACCACAACGCTGACTCGATATACGTACCCTACATGATTCTGAATTGTGACATATCCATAGTCACTTTGTGAGGCGTTATGACGGAGAATGGATAAAAGGAGGAGCCTGTCATGCTCTGAAAACGTCATATCCTTCATGACGACAGCGTTGCTATTCCTATGGCATAAGAAAACGGTAAATATAGAGGAAGAAGGATCCAATGAATTTTCAAAGCAAAGCTCAGTCAACGGACTAAACATGTCATAGCTTTCGGTTCTAAGGATCCTTTCGTCCGGATCCCATATCAGCTCGCGTTTGTTGAGCCCTCCGTCCCACCACGATTTGAACCAATGCATTGGCTTTACGGTTTGATATCCCATGTCCCACAGAGTTGCCGATTTCTCGACGACGATGTCCGTATGGCTCCGCCCGTATGAGAATGGGTGATGACGCCCGGGGGATTCTCATATGGTGATTGTTCGATCATTTGCCTTTAAAACATCTCTTGCGCTCAAAACCACTGTACTGTAGGAACCCGTAGTGTTTGTAGCCAGAGCATGGGTTGTTTCCGTTGTGCGCTCATCGCTGCTTCCGGCTGCAGCCATGAAAATGCCCACGAAGTGCCCTTCTTCACCCGCTGAGCAGCTGAGCAGTCCAACAAATTTTGGACATACGATGGAATTTTCCTCGAATCTCATTTGAGATATTAGCAGAAGTGGTAATTGTATTTTTAAACCAAGGCTTGTTAGATTGGCTGGGAGGACTGGGGTTTCAGCGCGTTTCAGATTGCCGCAATTGGTGAAGTCCTTGGGCGAGTTTGCCAGTATCTCACAACTATCTCTGTATTCGTCGATTGAAACCCTCAACATATTCAGTGTAGGTTCTGTGTGACGCTTGATGTCAAGCTGCGGCCCCCAAGCGAGTATCGAGTCATCGTTCACACTTCCAATGATCGCTTCTTGCAGGCGATGAAAGGCCCGGCCACCTTCCCCGTATAGCAGCGGCATGTTGATGCTGAAAATCCCCAACAGACAGTAAGTCATGTCTTCTGTACGGATCGTCTCTCTTGGTGAGGCCTATGACATTCTTCTCGCAACGCAATAGGCATCAGATATATTACCATTCTCATGCCATGTGCTACTCATTTCTGTCAAAGCGCCCTCATCTATTTCCGTCATTTCGGATATCAACTCCGAATGGCCAGACTTTCGACCTAACTGGTGCCACTGGTAGTTGTAGAAGACAACGTCTCTCGGTACCAAGAGTTCTTGTAGCATCCAGCCTCTGGTAAACCATCTACTTTGCGAAACTGTTCACCCATCTCTTCTCCCAGGACGTCTGAGAGATATGCATAGCAACGACGTACGTCCCTGTACTAAGCAATCATAAAATTGATAGCCTTGGAAAACTCTGAGCTAGATCTTTTATCAATGCAGCACGTATCGACCCATGCATAATTGAGTGTATCACGCATTGTTTGCTAGCAGGTAAACTCAATCTTCTGGTATCCCACTCGGGCACGTGTCTCCGGTGTATAGAGAGGAAGGTCAACAAATGTCACCTGGTCATTGCCCCAGGTGTGCGATGGGATTGCGTAAGGCGGAATATTGCTGCCGAAAAACTCTTCGGGCTCAAGTGTCGAGCCCTTTATGAGGCGTATTACAGAAATCTGTCGTTGTGATTGTTTAAGCTCTGAGTGTGGTACAAGGCAACAGCGGCGGGGTGTTCGTAAAGAAGGAAGGCTGGAAGGCTTGCTCGGCTAGCTCTAGCTTAGGTAATGAGTATCTCTGTACTGTGAACACTATCCGTGCCAAGGCTTAGCTTAGTAATAAGCTAAGTCAGCTGCGCTGACACTCGCCGCAGGCGAGTGCCGTCGCTCCCAACGATATTACCGTCCCAACGATATTTTTTTTACAACTCCATCACTTAAATCTATTCTTATATCCCCTATAATAGCCTAATTACAAATCTTAGTTAATAATCGCATTAAAGAGATCTTAGAGTCTATTAAAGATATTGCAAAGCCTAATTTTAAGTAGCTTACGCGTAAATACGGTGTTCTATACTAGCGATTACTCGCCCGATTAAAAGGCCGCCTAACACGCTCTAAGCGTCTCTCTAATACGTATAAGCTTACTAAGGCGTAAGACTAAGCGCTATATGATTATATCGTACGCCTTAATAAACTTAGCGTTTATATACGACTGCCTATAATTATATTGTGTACTAATTATCTTCTTTAATAAGCTTATAATAGTTTTGGTTCTTTACTAACTGCAAGCTCGCGATAGGCAAAATAATAGCTTAAACGGCAACCTGAGCTTTACGTACGGCGATAAAGATCTCTTAATCTTAATCGCGTACTTGCGTATAACTTAGACTCTATTATAGAGTGGTTTAATACCTTTATAAGCCTAATTTAGACGCATAGCATCCTACTATTAGATATCTAGAACTTTAACGAGACTGGCTTTCGCATTAGGATTAGAAAAGACTAGTAGGTTGTTACTTTTAAGCCTCGCCGCCGTGTCTATTTGCTAACGCCTAATAATTATATATTATTAACTGTAACTGAGTGCGTTAACGCTGTAGGCTACGCTATCTTACTAATAATTATTATTAAAGGCGATGCGCTCCTTGAGCGCTACTTTACTAATTTGCCTAATAACTATCTAATCGCGTATAGCGATAGTGGCTATATAAACGATTAATTAAGTTATAAGTAGGTAAAGTACTTTGTATAATAGAGCTAGAAGTATATTTAAGAGATATATCGGCTGCTCTTATTTGATGGATTTAATTTATACTATACCTAAGAGTTTCTAGAAGTCCTTAAGAATTATAAGGTTATTGCCTATCGTCTGCCTCTATATACATCTCACTTTCTCTAACTACTTAATATAGGCTGTTTCCAGCTATATAAGCACTATGTTACAAGTAACAAGAAAGACTCTCTCCTTGACAAATGACGAGATGGCGAAGGCCTAAGGACGTCCACGTCAGAAGGTAATGATCAACGCGGGGCGTCGATCACGTGACTTGGCATCCCGCCAAGGCATGGCCTCCGGGAGGCCACCGCATAAAGGGAAGCCAACGTCCTCCCAAACCTCCCGCCAAGATGGGATGTCGGGAGAACAGGACAGGAAGTAATGAGGATATAAGGATGGATGGATTTCATTATTTACTCTCGTTGTGGTCAACTCAAATTGTACTTTCTTACTAGTATCTTTACTTAACAAGATTGTCACAAGTTAGTCTATTAAATAGATTAGTCTTGTTAAACTCTTCTTAAGCACGCTAACTCTACTATATCGCCAGACAAGCCTCACGGAATACTAACGTAATACTTACCTGCCTTAGTGCGGACTAGGATAGAGAAGTATAGACCCTTACCCCGTGTAATACTTTAACCACCTACGGATCTAGTAGAAGGAGGATTAACCAGCAGCGTCCGAATAAGATTGAACTATGTTAGGAAATTCAAGCGAATATGTTCACATCCTAGGCTCGGCGCCTGAGGGAGATGTTAATATAACTGGTAGTACCTAAGGGGGAAATAACGAGCCGGCGGCAGGGAGCCCTAAGTACGAACTCGTTAATCTTAGACGCGAGAGCTAAGCCTAAGTAAGGCAGATAGCTAAGTTGCAGAATACAATTAACTAACTTATAGGTTAACTAATAACTACTCTGAACGAGAAACTACTTAAGAAGCTAAAAATGGCAACCCTAGAAAAGTATGATGGAAGTCGCACCGAGTTGCGGACATTTCTTACTAATATTAACTTATACTGCGAATTCAACGAAGTACCTAACGACTAGGAAAAGATTCTTATGGCTAGTACCTATATGAAAGGATGAGCGTTAAGCTGGATGCAGCTATATGTGGAGGACTATCTATTAAATATCGAGAATAGAGGAACGAAGGACGAGACGCGCGCCTTGTTCACTAGTTGGGCCGAATTTAAGAAAGAGATAGGACACATCTTTGGGGAAGTGGATGCTTAGAACTAGGCAGAGAAAGCGATAACTCGCCTGAAGTAGACTAGTTTAGTATTAGCGTATACAGCCGAGTTTAAGCAGCTATAGGCACGAATTGACTAGGATGACGTAGCACTTCGAACGGTGTTCGAAGCAGGTCTGAAGGAAAATGTTAAAGACGGACTTATATATTACGACAAACTAAACACGCTTTACGCGCTGATTAAGTTAGCAATACGCATTGATAATAGGCTGTAGGAAAGAAACTAACAAAAGAAATAATTTCAACCCACGATAGCTAACACAAGGAAACAGCGTAGCTAGTTCGATAAGGATGGCGACACTATTATGACCGGTAAGGTATAAGATAAGTTTAAGGACAAGAATAGAAAACCCTGAGGATAGTATAATGACGGACTCTCTATAGAAGAACGTAAGAAGCGTTATAACAGCAAGGCATGTCTCTGATGTGGTGAAGTAGGACACTTCCGCAGAGATTGCCCAAAAAACGAAGTTAGACAAGGAGTGGTTAAGATTGGGATGATTCGGATACTAACACTATACCTAACTAAGGAGCTAGATGAAACCCTCAGCGACCTAGACCTGTACGAAGAAGCAAGACAAGCTACTGACGAGGCCTTTAAGCTAGTACAAGAGGTAATAGGACTCTAAGACTTCAAGTAGGACGCACCACTACCAACGGATTGGCAGATTAAAGGGGCCGAAGTACTACGCCGCCTAAGAAACTAATAGTACTGGATTTACGGAACTAATGTATATTAAGCTAACGATTGTAATATTGATAGACGAGTTACAATCTTAGGACCCCGAGCAGATAAGATTACTTATAGGGCTGCCCAGGAACAACCTAGGTTTAAAGAACCTGATAACGAGGAGACACCTCAGACGTTTAAGGAACGGATGGAGTAACACGAGCGCCTATATTAGGTCGACTACCTAAGACAGTATAATTACTACTTGAGGAAGCGAGAAGAGACTAGAGACAACGAGGACAATTGCTGCTATACTAATTTATGGCATAACGAGTGTCGCGTACAGCATTGCCACATGCACTAGCCCGGAGAAAAGGAAGCTTACAAAGAGCTATGCTGGATTAAGTGCACGATTAATTGCCAATTCTATAAGGAACAGCGACGGAAAGCTAGAAGGGTAGACGACTACTACTATAGCACGATTTCCGCAGAGAAATGCATAGCGAAGAACTGTAGAATATATAGGGCCTAAGTATAGGAAACGCTAGTAGAGCATAGTAAACTCCTATAGACGTATTGCAGGAAAGGTTGTGCTATGCACTAATAATAGTTCGAGAATGCTCGACAGGTAGGCAACCACTACCATAGCATCCTACTAGCGAACATTTATGAGGCAAAGAATTGCCTGATTTATAAAAATAAGAAGCTAGAACTAAGGAAGAGGGCCACGCAACAGAAGATACCTTATAAGAATATCTATTAGAGCTTCTGCTACAACGATTAGTGTATGATACACTATTCCGCCAAGGTAGGCGAAGGCTACTTCCTAAAGAAGAAGGGAAGTAGGTAGTTAAAAAACTAGGATGCTACTAGGGATAGGGTCACGCTGGCAAAGGCAGTCCTAAAACGACCCTTAAATAAGTACAGGAAGTGGGAGCAAAGGAATTGCAATTGAAAGCTATAGTACTTGTAGACGGATACGAGGTGTTAGCGCTTATAGATAGTAGGGCAGCACGAACCGTCATATCGCCACGAGTAGTAGAAGGAAATAATATACCCCATCGGAATAAGAAGGTACTAATACGAGTGGTATTAGCCGACGATAGTCCTATAACATATGGGAACGGCTGGATCTGACTTAAGACCGAGGTAGTAACGTTACGCCTGGCTAGTTAAGAAAGCTAAGAAAAGATTAGCATTATAGATCTTAGAGAGACTAAGATGATAATTAGCTATAATTAGTTGTTAAAACACAACTCTGCTATTGATTGGTAAAAGAAGACATTACTCAGCTGAGAGCCTGTGCATAAGGTTGCTGGAGTAAGACACGAGATACGCCCGACGAATTAGCGCGTAACCTAGGACGGGAGATTCGGCATAATCTCACCGCATAAGATCGCGAGAATCTATGCGAAGGACCCTTAGAGTGTAGGAGTTATTTGGATACGGTAGATTGCGACCACGAAGGAAGGATCGGTACTATAGTTAGCGATTCTAATAGAATACTAAACGGACGAGTTCAGAGAACTGTTTGAGGAAAATGAGGCAACGGACCTAGTAGACTATTAGAATTGGGATTACGAGATTATCCTTGATGAAGGAGCTAAGTTGAGCCTAGGACTAATGTACCCTATAGCGCCTGAGTATGATGCTGAGCTGCGGGATTACATCTAAAAGAACTTAAAAAAGGGATTTATCTGACTGGGATTAGGCCTGATGGCCTTACCTATCTTGTTCGTAAAGAAACCTAACGGGAAGTGGCGACTATGTGTCGACTTTAGAAGGTTGAATAGCGTAACTTGGAAGAACTAATATCCCTTACTACTTATTACAGAGCTTATAGATCGACTCTAGGGAGCTAAGTGGTTTACGAAGTTCGACGTTTGGGAAGGATTTTACTAAATTAGAATTAAAGAAGGTCACGAATGGATGATAGCGTTTAAAACGAAGTACGGACTCTTTGAGTACATGGTTATGCCGTTCGGATTGACGAATGCGCCGGCAACCTTTTAATTAGTTATTAATAACGCTCTCTATGAATACCTTGGAATCTTTGTTACCGCGTATCTAGACGACGTACTAGTGTACTCCAGCGGTATACGCGAAGAATATGTTGAGTATGTTAAGAAGGTTTTACGAAAGCTTAAGGAATATAAGCTATACCTTTAACTAGGAAAATATGAATTCTATATATAGGAAACGGAATTTCTCGGATTCATTATATTAACTGAAGGAGTAAAAATGAACCTAAAGAAGATATAGACTGTATAGGAATGGCTAATACCTAAAATAGTTAAGGATATTCAATCCTTCTTAGGATTTGCGAATTACTATTGAAAGTTTATTAGAGATTACTCGAAGATTATAGCACCCCTTACGGAAGTGACGAAAAAGGAAATAGGTTTTAAATGGGAATAGAAATATTAAGAGGCTTTCGATCGAATCAAGCAGATATTCTTGGAGGCGCCAGTACTCGAGATGTACAGCCCTCAACGACCTACTAGAGTTGAGACCGATGCGTCCGACTATGCACTCGGAGCTGTATTGTTATAGTAGTGCCTAGATGGGAAATGGAGACTAGTGTTCTACTATTCACGGAAGTTCTCTGGAGTAGAACTTAACTACGACGTTCACGATAAGGAACTACTTGGAGTAGTTGATACCTTTGAATAATAGGAAGTGTACCTGTTAGGACTCCCTGAATAGATCGAGGTTTTCACTAATTACTAGAACTTAATAAGTTTTATAATAATGAAAAAACTTAACCGACGATAAGTGCGATGGGCAGAGATGCTAGCCTAGTTCGACTTTAAGATTACGCACCGCGCGGGAACGCTTAACGGAGCAGTAGACGCTTTAAGTAGAAGGTCTGATTTGCGCGAAGAGGGTTATAAAGAACTATATGACGCCTTACTTAAGATGATGCCCGATGGCAGTCTGAAGTACAACTAGCCGGAACTAGCTAAGGTAGCTAAGGTGGCCGAGTAGGTAGAAACACTACAGAAATAATGGCAGAAAAA